AGCGTGCGCTCAAAGCCGCCGCTTCTCTACCGCCAGGCGTTGGGCGTGCAGAAGCGTGACTCAGCCCTAAGACCCACAATTTAGGGTTTAGGGTTTAGGGTTGGGATGTTCCCACTTGTACTACCAGTCCTTAATCGGGATCACGCTAGGGGGTACTACAATCCCTTTGAAGGGCTGTTAGTACAAAGGGAACATCCCAACCCACAGCACCTAAACAGCAAGATCTGAACGACTGTGTGGACCTGGCAGTGAGACCTGGCAGTGAGACCTTCATAGGAAAATTGGGTATATTTCGGGTTTAGGGTTTAGGCTCGGGATGTTCCCCCTTAAACTAACAGCCAGGGATTCCAATAGGGGTTTACTATGATGGACTGTTCGTAGAAGGGTGGAACATCCCAAGGTAGATCTTGAACTTCTAGGGTTTAGGGTTTAGGGTTTAGGGTCTAGGGCTCCTCATTATGATTTCAGCTCTAGTCACGGGCTGTTGGGCTCTCTGGGCTTCAGGTAGACCTTCCAAACTCTGAATGGAGGTTTAGGCTTTGGGGTTTAGGGTTTAGGGTTTAGGGTTAGAGGTTATACTAGAAGCAGGTACAAGGGCAGAGAAGACATAGTTCAGCGGCTAAACACAGCGCGGTACTCAGATTGCACTTGCGAAGACCCTAAACCCTAAACCCTAAACCCAAAAAAGAAGCCGTGAACCTGGCCCACTTGTCACTGAGCTCGAGTTCAGCAACCATTTGAGCCGCTGCGCATGGGACGAGGGTTTGAGAACCCTAAACCCTGAACCCTGAACCCTGAACCCTGAACCCTGAACCCTGAACCCTGAACCCTGAACCCTGAACCCTAAACCCTAAACCCTAAACCCTAAACCCTTTCCCGCCCTTGCCTCTGGAGGAGGTTCCGTATGCTCAGCCCCCGTGGCTGGATCCGGGCATCCTATCACGGAGCAACGAGCCGGAGGCCGTTGCAGAGCCTGATGTGGTTTAGGGGTTTAGGGTTTAGGCTTCAGGGTTTACGGGGCGCTGGGGCTTCAGCTGCAGTTGCTACCAGGCTCTATTGGAAGTACAGAGATTCAAGTTTGCTGGGAAGAAGTCAAGAGAGCCCCGCCAAGGAATAGCTAACCCTGAACCCTAAACCCTAAACCCTCCCACATGCCCTACATATCGGCCCTCAATCTGACCCTGTGCATATACACCCTGAAACCTCAACCCTAAACCCAAACCCTAAACCCGAAACTTTAGGGTTAAGGGCCTAATTTGGGCTGGCTTGAGGGTTTACGACTCTGGGCTGGTTTTTGGGCTTATTCGATACTCTGGGCTGGCTTTGGGGTTTACGACTCTGGGCTGGCTTTTGGGCTTATTCGATACTCTAGGCTGGCTTTAGGGTTTGGGGCCTACTCTGGGCTGGCTTAGGGTTGAGGGCCAACTCTGGTTTTAGGGTTTAGGGTTTAGGGCTCGCCGAAGAGAAGAGCGTCAGCAACGGCTTAATTCTACAGTAGCCCGTGATACGCCCATATGAGTTCTTTGGTATACTGGTCGGATAGTGTGGCTTGAAGTCACCACGTTTTCCTGACCATTCCCGGCAGACTCCCCAAGCCCGGATGCAAAAAAAAAGGGGTTTAGGGCTACTCTGGCTGTAGGGTTTAGGGCCTGCTCTGGGCTGGCTTTAGGGTTTAGGGCCTACTCGGGGCTGGCTTTACGGTTTAGGGCTTACTCGAGGCTAGGGCTACTCTGGGCTGGCTTTAGCGTTTAAGGCCTACTCTGGCCTGGCTTCAGGGTTTAGGGCCTACTCTGGGCTGGTTTTAGGGTTTAGGGCTTACTCTGGGCGGCTGCCTACTGGTTCTAAGGTTAAAACGAAAAGTAAAATATTGTTATGGGGTTCAATTGGTGGGTGGGTCGATATTCCATACGTGAGGAGGGAGCTCTGCTAGTGAAGTGCTTGGACTTGAGATGCTGAACCCTAAACCTTAAACCCTAAAACCCCTCAACCCTGAATCAGTCTGAGTCGACGGCATAGCGTTTGGGGTTCGGTGTTGGTTGACTTCGGCCGCAAGCAAGAGACTCTGTACGTTTGCGTCCCTAAACGCTGGACCCTGAACCCCTAAACCCTAAGGCCCTAAACCCTAGACCCAACAACCCTAAATCCTAAACCCTAAACCCTAAGGCCCTAAACCCTAAACCGCAGGCCATGGCAGATGACGGCACGAAGCCATCGCTGCCCCGCCGGAGGGAAGATTTGATGGTTTGCTGCTTGTTCCCGAACCTGTTTGGGTGAAGACCTTGGCAGCCCAGTGGTTTAGAGGTTGGGGTTAAGGGTTTAGGGTTTAGGGTTTAGGGTTTAGGGTTTAGGGTTTAGGGTTTAGGGTTTAGGGTTTAGGGTTTAGGGTTTAGGGTTTAGGGTTTAGGGTTTAGGTTAAAGAAGCCAACCCAAAAAGGGTTACCCTTGGGCTACCAAGAGACTCTCTCCACAGGACGACAGCCCTGCAATCCATGTGCGGTAGTCGAAAATATGGGTCCTTCTTTGGCAACGTGAACGGCGTTTAGGGTTTAGGGTTTAGGGTTTCGGGTTTAGGGTTTAGGGCCCCTGACCCAGAAGAAGGCCCATCAATGTCGACCGCCAGGTGGCTTAGGGAACCCTTCGGGCCGTTTGCCACAGCGCACAACCAGACCTGCAGCTCCGAAAAGCGAGCTTTTGAAGCAGGTTTAGGGTTTAGGGTTTAGGGTTTAGGGTTTAGGGTTTAGGGTTTAGGGTTTAGGGTTTAGGGTTTAGGGTGTAGGGTTTAGGGTTTAGGGTTTAGGGTTTAGGGTTTAGGGTTTAGGGTTGGGATGGTGGCGGCTTCTCAATCAAACTCCGCACGCCAAACCCCTCAAGCTAGGAATTGAAACAGTGTGGCTTAGGTCATGGGATGTCTTGGGCTCAGGGTTTCGGGTTTGAGGGTTCAGGTTTTGTAGGGATTAGGGTTCCTACACAACCATCGCGCCGATGCGCGTAGTTGTTTTGCAGTCAGGACCTGTAACGAAGATGTCCTCGAGCTTGCTCGGTTTTTCAGGTCAAGGTACCTAAATCCTGAACCCTAAACCCTGAACCCAAAACCCTAAACCTACAGAGCGCGACCAGCGAGTGCAGAAGCAGCTTTATTTGAGAAGCTTCCGATTGTGTCGTCATCACTGATGCCCACAGAGACCTCCGTTCAAAGACCCCTGAACCCTAAACCCAGGTTTGGGGTTTAGGGTTTCGGGTTTAAGGTAAAAGAGGTGCCCAGCCCAGTTTCAATGACCAATTCTATCCCCACAAGGGCATCCCGTGTAATTTTAGGGTTGAGGGTTGAGGGTTTAGGGTTTAGGGTTCCCTAGTAACACCATTCCAAATTCATAGGCCTCGACACCACGGTTTATGAGAGTATCCGGCGCTAAAGGTCGTTTGGGTCTTCCTTGCGGACTTTGCTCTCAGGGTAGCTGCATGGTCCCTTCAATGGGCCCCTGGCTGAGTAACCACTACACACCCCTTATATACTCCATGAAACCCAAGGGCCCATACTTCAGAACCCTTTCAAGAAGGTAAGGGGCCATGTTAAGGGACCCTAAGCCCTAACCCTAAACCCCACACCAAACCCCAAACCCCAAACCCTAAACCCTAAACCCTAAACCCTAAACCCTAAACCCTAAACCCTAAACCGACCCTCTTAAGGGACCATGCAACTTCCCTTGGGTCATGACGGCCAACTCTCCCGTAGAGCGGCCAAGGCGCCGTAGGCGTCTGAGGCGCCCTTGATCTAGTTAGGGTTTAGGGTTTAGGGTTTAGGGTTTAGGGTTTAGGGTTTAGGGTTTAGGGTTTAGGGTTTAGGGTTTAGGGTTTAGGGTTTAGGGTTTATGTAGGCTTATGTAGGTTTAGGGGGTCTAGGGTTGAGTGTGAGAATAGGAGACACGAGCCATAGGCAGCACCACGGAGACGGTGCTAGAACTTAATGTGGGGGGTTTACGAAAATCGGGGACCCCATTATTCTAGACCCCCAAGTAGTAGGATCCCCTCAGATAAGGATCTTAGGGTTTAGGGTTTAGGGGTCGTAAACCCCCATGTTGCTTTTGGGGGGTGTAAGGTGCGGAACGACGTTCTTGAGTGTTGTCGAATGGCTAACAGACTCATGATAGTCCCGCTGTCGACGGTGCGTTCGCGGAGCAGTGGAAGGAGCTGCTTGCGCGATTTGGGGCTCTAGGAGGTTCGTGACACTAGGCAACTAGCTATAACTGTACCTATAAATGTACTTATCGCCATCTTGGGGCACTTTCAGGGGCAAAATAAGTGGGTTATAAGTACAGTTAGACTTAGTTACTAAGTACCCCGAAACCCTAAACCCTAAACCCTAAATCCTAAACCCTAAACCCTAAAACCCTAAACCCCTAAACCCTAAACATGAACCTCGAAGTTGAGGGTCTGGGGACTAGGCTGAGAGGCCTCGTCTAAGTTCCTGTGTTCCACGTTGGGGACCCCAACTCTAAGTGCCATGGCTTGTTGCTGTGACTTCCCCAAAGAGCCCAATACCCCTTAGTCGTACAAGGTCCATACGGGGTTGAGGGTTTAGGGTTTAGGGTTTAGGATTTAGGGTTTAGGGTTTAGGATTTAGGGTTTAGGGTTCAGGGTTTAGGGAGTTTAGGGTTTAGGGTTTAGGGAGTCCAGAAACGATCCAACGCCCACCGTCAAGCAACGCACTTGAAACTCGGGTCCCTTAACTGTACGTATGGTTTAGGGCCCCCCAAAAAGTAAGGTCGTAGCTGGACCTATGGGCGATAGAGACAGAGACAGAGGACAGCAACAAAGTCCCTTAACCCTAAACCCTCAACCTAAACCCCAAACCCTAAACCCTAAACCCTAAACCCCAAACCCCAAACCCTAAACCCTAAACCCTAAACCCCAAACCCTAAACCCTAAACCCCAAACCCTAAACCCTAAACCGTGATTTTGGTTCGACCCTAGCCTGGCCCCGAACCTCGGCTTTTCCAGAGGTTCAAAGCAACCACAAAGGGCGCCGTCGTCGACTTCTACAATGCCGCCAAGGTGCACCCAAGGAAGCTGTTTTGACGGGTTTAGGGTTTAGGGTTTAGGGTTTAGGGTTTAGGGTTTAGGGTTTAGGGTTTAGGGTTTGGATCCCTGAAGCAAAATGGGGCAACAAAAACGCCCAGTATTGCAGGTCATTATGAGCGAATTGCAACCCTAAACCTTAAACCCCAAACCCTAAACCCTAAATCCTAAGCCCTAAACCCTCAACCCTGTAAAGGTTTCAGGGTCCCTGCTCGGGCCTACATCCGGAATACCTGGTGTTCGAACGTTCCCTGACAGGGGGTTGGGTGACACTGCAACAGGTTTAGGGTTTAGGGTTTAGGGTTAAGGGTTTAGGGTTTAGGGTTTAGGGTTTAGGGCTGAGGGCTGAGGGGCTCGCAGAAACTGCTGGGGTCTGTGGTCAGGTACCGATCGCCTGAACCTTATACCCCCGAATCCGAAGCCCTACAAAACCCATCCTGTGCACCCCTAAACCCCAAACCCTAAACCCTAAACCCCCAACCCTAAACCCTAAACCCTAAACCCCAAACCCTAAACCCTAAACCTTAAAAAACCCCAAAAGCTGGAGCCAGGTCTGGTTCGCACAGGGCGAGGACGCCAAAGCGCGTGACGCATGTGCCGCGCACGGACGTCTTCGGGGCAATGTTCCAGACAAGGGTTTGGGGTTTAGGGTTTAGGGCTTAGGGTTTAGGGTTGAGGGTTCAGGGTTTAGGGTTTAGCCTTTAGAGTTTCTCAATTTCTCTTTGGTTATGTCTGTGGTTATGAGGGTTTCGGGTTAGGGGTTAGGGTTTCACACGGACTATGGATAGACTTCAGTTCATAGAAGGAGTATACCACGAGTTATAAAGGAGTATATATATATATATGCATATTCACATATATTCCATGATTCATCAGGAATCTGCATCACACCATGAGGAATATGCCAGGTATACACCTCAAAATTATGGCAGGGTTTAGGGTTTAGGGTTTAGGGTTTAGGGTTTAGGGTTTAGGGTTTAGGGTTTAGGGTTTAGGGTTTAGGGTTTAGGGTTGAGAGTTTAGGGTTTCGGGTTTAGGGTTTAGGGTTTAAGGTTCCGGGATTCGGGCTCAGTCCTGGCATGAAGCAGCTTCCAGTTAAGGGTCTAGGGTTTAGGGACTAAAGGAGGGACCCTTGTTAGGGACTTAAGGGTTTAGGATTTAGGGTTTAGGGACTAAAGGAGTATTTGGGGTTCTTGAGGGGATACTTAGGAAAATAGGGACGCTCTACGGTATATATGCGGGTTATATAGGGGAGTCAGATTAAGGGTCCCTTCTAGGGGTGCCTCCTTATACCCCTTTAAAGGTATAACCCTAAACCCTAAACCCTAATCCCTAAACCCTAAACCCTGAACCCTGAACCCTAAACCCTAAACCCTAAAACCTAAACCCTAACCCTAAACCCTAAACCCTAAAAGGTATATTCCTGAAAATGAAGGGGTGCTGTGGCGCTCTCCGGGGATGAAAACTGGAGAAAGGTTCCACGGGGCCACAGGGCTTCTTGGGGTCAACAAAGAGCGGGTTTAGGGTTTAGAGTTTAGGGTTTAGGGTTTAGGGTTTAGGGGTGGGGGTCTGGGTTTCGGGTCTCGGGGTTGGGGTTTAGGGTTTTGGGGTTTAGGGTTTAGGGTAAAGGGTTCAGGGGTGGGGGGGGGGGGGAGGGCAGGGTGGGGGGTGGGGGGGAAGTGGCCATCTCTCGTCATCTCTCAAATGGGCGTTGGGCATTCGCAACGGGTCAGGGTTTGTTTTGCGAGACAGTTTGGGGGTGCGTTATGAGGGCCATTTCATGTCAATGCCCAGACAGTCCAATACCCTTGCATAAGGAATGCACCTTAAGCAAGCATCGGCATCCTCATGTGAATTAGGGTATGTATGACCGATGATTTAGGGAGGTATTGGGCTCCCGCGTATAGTCTTGTTTCAGGGAAAAAGGCTGTAAGGGAAGCCCTAAACCCTAAACCCCTAAAACCCTAAACCCTGAACCCTAAACCCTAAACCCTACTGGCCAGGTGAGAAAGCCCTGAAGCTGGCAGATGAGCCGGCGCCTCGGAGGGCCGTGGCCTTGCGCACGGCCCTTTGCAACCAGGGCTTAGGGTTTAGGGTTTAGGGTTTAGGGTTTAGGGTTTAGGGTTTAGGGTTTAGGGTTTAGGGTTTAGGGGAACCACTTGCTGCTGCTTAGGAGGGAATGAGTCGGAATGAGCGGCTTTAGGGTTTAGGGATTTGGGGTTTAGGGTTTATAGGGTTTGGGGTTTACGGTTTTTTGAGGGAGGGAATGAGGGAATGAGGGAATGAGGCACCCTACTAGATACCCTTCAAGGGATTCTATAGCGTACCTCATTCCCTCATTCCCTTGGAACCAACAGTAAGACGGGTAAGACCAGGGCGCTCTCAAAGAGCGGCGAAGGGATATGGGGCTTAGGGTTTAGGGTTAGGGAAAAGGGATGTAGAGTTTAGGGGATCTTAGGGTTTAGGGAAAAAGGGTTTAGGTAAATAGGGTTTAGAGTTTATGGGGTTGAGGGATATGGAGTGTAGAGATTTGGGGCTTAGGGATATAGGGTTTAGGAATTTGGGGTTTAGGGTTCAGGGATCTAGGGTTTAGGGTTTAAGGTTGAGGGTTTACGGATGCAGGTCTTATGATAGAGTCTTATGGTTTAGGGATCTAGGGTTTAAGGGTTCTGGGAGATGGGGTTTAGGGGTTTGGGATTTCGGGCGCAGGGATTTAGGAATATAGGGACATCGGGGTTTAGGGTGCAGGGGTTTAGGACCCTTAGCCCTGAGCCCTAAACCCTAAACCCTAAGGCCCTATCGCATAATTCAGCAGACTGCCGCGTGCGTCTGTGCTCCGGGGCAAGCGTGGCCTGCGTATGCAAGAGCAGCCCCAAAACTAAACCCAACCTGAAATCCCTAAACCCTAAATTCCTAATCCCTAAAATTTGTAAATCTTCCCATTTTAGGGTTTAGGGTTTAGGGTTCACGGGCTTAGGGTTTAGGGTTTAGGGGACATGTCGGCTAACCTACTGTCCGCCCCACTGCTCATGAATGGCCTCCATCGACCCAGTCGCTTCTCGATGTTTGGTTTAGGGTTTAGGGTTTAGGGTTTAGGGTTTAGGGTTTAGGGTTTAGGGTTTAGGGTTTAGGGTTTAGGGTTTAGGGTTTAGGGTTTAGGGTTTAGGGTTCTCGCCCTTACCCGTTGCACTACCTACTCCCGATGCGAAAATTCCCAAAGGGTCCATGTACCTATATAGTATAAACTTGGGCCTTGAAGGTTTTCCTATACAGTAGCTTTACGGCCAAGCATATACGATGTGGGTACATGGACCCTTAAAGATAACGCACCATCACATTTCCCATCATATCCTGTGCTTACATGAGGGAAATCTTCCCGTGCTGCCCCTGGGGATGAGGGACCCCATCATGAGACCCCCACTTCGGGTTTAGGGTTTAGAGTTTAGGGTTTAGGGTTTAGGGTTTAGGGTTTAGATTCTCCCTTAGACCCAAGCATGGTCCCACCATCCAGGGCGAGCTTTAAGAATGCTACTCGGCAGGGTTTTGGGACATATTGTATTTTCCCTTATTGGGTTTAAGAAGATCACATTTAGGAACACGTTTTAGAGAGGGTTTCAAGGGCCATCTGATGTGGGGGGGGGGGGGGGGGGGGGTGGTTCTCAAAGTTTGGGTACCTTTTGCAGGAGTTCCTAAGAATCAGGATTGTAGTGGAAATTATTTCTTTTTAGCAGGGTAACCCTCTGTGGGGGGTAAACCCTCTGTGGGGGGTAAACCCCCTAAGACCTAAAACCCTTGGACGTGCTTCGCAACTATCCGCACATCTGGATCGTCCAGAACGATGTGCCGACGCTTCCGAGGGCAAGCTTCTCCGGTGTAGCCTTGTGAAGCACCGTGCGAAGCCGGATGATTTGGCTTGGAACAGTCGCAATTCAACCCTAAACCCTAAGCCCTAAACCCTATAAACCCTAAACCCTAAAGCCCCAAAAACCCCTAAAACCCCAAACCACTCCTAAACCCTAAACCCTACCCCTCCCATAAACCCTAAACCCTGCGTAGAATCTTCTGCCATCTCCCTCCTCGCCAGAGGCTGCGCCCACCACCCGCCGAGATGGGCGACACTTTGCACCTGCTCGGGGTCCGCCCTGCAGTAGAGTGCGTAGGGTTTTAGGGTTTAGGGTTTAGGGTTTAGGGGTAGGTTTTCGAGATGGCATGGCCTGTGTAGCAGATGTTGCTACATGATATCACATGTCGCTGTATATTGTTGCCCTAAACCCGAAACCCGCCTAAACCTTAAACCCTATGTTGCCATCGGAGTTGCAGCGTTTGGTGCATCAGGTTTTGGGGCCCTTGGTTTGGAGTTTCGGGGCCGTCTTCAGCACTCAAGGGACTAAAGGAGGGACCTTGATAAGGGACTTTAGGGGTTGTTTAAGGGTTCTATAGGCGTTACTTCGGGGTTACTCAGGGGGTTACTTAGGTTTATAGGGACTATCTAAGGTATATAGGGGTTCTATCTAGGGGAACAAGATCAAGGGTCCCTTCTAGGGCTCCCTCCTTAGAACCCCTCAAGTCCCCTAAACCCTAAACCCTAAACCCTAAACCCTAAACCCTAAACCCCAAACCCTAAACCCTAAACCCTAAACCCTAAACCCTAAACCCCTCAAGTCCTCAAAGCTTCGGAGCTGTCTTCAGCACCGTCTTTCCGTAGAAGCCACTCTCCGGTCTAGCACAATCCGTCCCCAGAAGGGGTTTACACATGAGACGGGTTTTGGGGATGTTCCCGCTTTTCTTTGTCGTGGTTGGGTAACATTTTACATTTTTAAGGGTACTTAAACCCAATAAGGAATATAATTTTAAACTTTTAATACTATCCCAACCATGAACTAGTTTTTCTACCAGTCCTTATTATGATATGGCTACCAAGGCTAGCGCAAGTCATGTCCCCAAAACCGTGCCGGAAGGACCTGAACTTCTCCTGCGTCTGGCATTTAGGTTCGCACAGTTCCGCGCTAAACCCTAAGCCCTAGGCCCTAGGCCCTAGACCCTAGACCCTAGACCCTAACCCTAAACCCTACACCCTACCTAAACCCTACATCACTGTGAGAGTCGAAGCTAAAAGCGCTGCAGCACCCCGGCTGGTGAGTAGGCCCTAGACCCGAAGCCGTCCGAGAGAACTCGCGCAAGCCTTGAGGGTTTAGGGTTTAGGGTTTAGGGTTTTGGGTTTTGGGTTTTGGGGTTCAGGGTTGCGTCCCAGGCAGGCAGTGCAGCAGTCCTAGCCGTAAAAAAGGGGTTCAGGGTTTAGAGTTTCGGGTTTAGGGTTTAGGGCCTAGGGTTTAGTCTGCGCACAAGAGTCGGGAGCGATTGGCTCAGTGGCAGGACCAGGGCTCAAAGGTCCTGTGTCAAAGGAGAGTGAGGAGTCGTGCCTTTTCGCCCCCAGGCATGGCATTAATCGCTTTGAAGCGGCTACAGGCATCCGTGCCGAGTCAAGATTTGCAGCACTTTTGCTGGCTGGTTTTTGACCTGCTGCAAAAGGGCTGGCTTCTCCCCTCCCCGGTGCCGGACGTAGTTCTGCAATACCTAGGGGTGAGATTCGGTTCCGGCTCACTTGCGCAAGTGGCAGCAGAAGGCTTCGATGAAGTGCTTTCTACCATTCAGAAGGACGGCCGCTTGACTCTCAAGGGCAGGAACTGCGAGGAGCACGACATACCCGAAGGCCTTCCTCCAGCGAAAGCTTTGGCCGCAGGCTTCTTCCATACCTGTCTCTTGACCATGAAGCTTGGCAGCCCAGTGGTACCCTTTTCCCTTTTTTTGGTTCAAGGTTCCTTTGTTAAGCAACCAACCCAAAAAAGGGTACCCTTATTAGCATATGGCTGCTGGGCTACCAAGGAAGCATGAAGTCGTGTGCTTCGGAGACAACAGCGACGGCCAGTGTGACGTGCCTGCAGCACTTGGTCCGGCGGCGGTCGTGGCGGCAGGAGGTTATCACACTTGTGTCGCGTTAAGCGACGGATCACTCGTCTGCTTTGGAGACAACAGTCTAGGCCAGTGCGACGTACCACAAGATCTCGGTCCTGTGACGTTTGTGGCTGCAGGGTTCGAACACACGTGCGCGGTGACAGCGAAGGGCCGACTCATCTGCTTCGGCGGCAACCACGAAGGCCAGTGCGATGTGCCTTTGGACTTGGGCCCCGTGGTTTCGGTGGCGGCAGGCAGTCACCATACCTGCGCCTTGCTGCTGGATGGCCAGGTAGTGTGCTTCGGACGCTTGGTAGCCCAGTGGTGCCCTTCTCAGGGTTGAACGGTTAGGGTGTAGTTTTCTATTTCTGGTTCAAGGTGCCCTTGTCAAGAAGCCAACCCCCAAAAAGGGTCCCGTTTTTTTTGTGGTTACTGGGCTACCAAGGACGGCAAGATCAAGGGCAATGTCACGTTCCCAAGAACCTCGGACCAGCAACCGGCGTGGCTGCCGGCTGCTCTCATACGTGCATCCTGAAGGAGAATGGTCGTCTTGTCTCTCGGTGGGCCCTTGAAGGACACATGTTACGTACACTTTGTCCTTTTTGGGTTTAAGAGGATCATACCTCGGACCCTCCTACACCCTAGCCCTAAACCCTAAACCCTAAACCCCAAACCCTAAACCCTAAACCCTAAACACCTAAACCCCTAAACCCCTAAACCCCTAAACCCTAAACCCCTAACCCCTAAACCCTAAACCTAAACCCTATACCCTAAACCCTAAACCCTAGGAGGGCTGTAACGGGGGCCATCCAAGGTCTGCTTCGGGGACAACAGCAATGGCCAGTGCAACGTGCCCTCCGGCCTAGAGTCGGTAAGTGCCTAGGACCGGGAGTAGGACCTTTTTTTCATTTTTTTTTGGGTTTAGGGTTTAGGGTTTAGGGCTAGGATCCGGAGTAGGACCTGTTTTCCTTTTTTTAGGGTTGGGGTTCCCTCATAATCCCCTTAAAACCAAAAAGGAAACCTTTTTTGTTCCTAGGTTACTCCCGGGTCTAGGTGCTGTGGCAGGCCTAAGGCATAGCACCGCTGTGCTGACGGCGCAGGGGCGTCTCGTTCATTTTGGACAGGCGTCGGGTCGCGCGAAGTGCAGGTCTTGCGAGGTCCTGGTCTTTCGGACGCTTGTGGTTCTGGTTTTGTGCTCTGTTCTTGGGATTCTCGGGTGCATTCGTTGAGTACGCAGGTGTTTTCAAGCCAGTCACTCAACACCTGTTGGGTTTCACGGCTTCATTCTAATCTACTATTTGCTTAAGAACCCCCAAAAACGAAAACAAGCATTTTTCCATTGCCCTTATAAGTTTTTTTTTTTGGGGGGGGGGGTTCTTAAGCAATTGGTAGTAGTAATTGTTTGCCACGCCCCGCTGTCAAGGGCTGCGAGCATGACTCAATGACTGTCGGTAACTGAAAGTGTAGGGTTAGGGTTTAGGGTTTCTTTCAGAGCTAATTAGGTTACGCGGTCGGTGTCATCGCCATCGCTGTGCAGCGCTGCAAACTCTTTAACAGCAAGTCCTCGAGAACATTCGAGAACTTCGAGAACTCTTTGAAACTATCTCAAGGGCTTTATTCGCTAACGTTGAGTGCAGTTCGTCCTGAATTGCTATCTCTGTCTCAAGAAGCTGTGATGACGCTCGCCCCCCGGTGAAGCAACTACTTCGGATTGCAGCTGGAACTTGACACTAGGATCTACTTTCTGCTGTGCTCCGCGACAAATTTAACCGCGTGCATAGCGACAGTTTCCGGGAGCTCCAGGTCCAACGTTAGAAACCTCCAAGCATTTTAGAGTTCGCCCGGATACAAAAAGATCTTGCTCAGATATGAGCCACCCACACAAGCGCGGTGTCTGCTATGGTTGTTGGGACCCTACAACTGGTGAGATGGCAGGCAAAACCTGCTAATGATCTCAGCCACGCTGGGTGCCAGGCTTTGGCCCCCTTCTCCTGAACCCTAAACCCTAAAACCTAAATCCTAAACCCTAAATCCTAAACCCTAAAACCTAAAACCTAAAGTTGGGGGTTCTGACATTCTAGTTGGGGGGTTCACCGGGTTTTTTACTGTTTGGGTCCCCAGTGTATGCCTGAAGCGAGGGCCGCCATGTCGCTCAGCGATTTTCCCAACTTCAGAACCTAGCATTTCCTCGAGTCGATACGAGTTTCTGGGTAGGCTCTTGGGGCATTTTATGATGTACATGTCACCGTATTTGGTTCAAGAGGAATGATGCTCAGAAGTATTTCCAGAGGGCTCTAAGGGGCCAACCTACGTTTGGCTTTCCCAGCATGAGCCCCACGGTGCAGACACCAGGCGGGTGGCAAAAAAACAAGCAAGCGCCTTCAAAGAGCCAGTGCTTGGAAGACCTGTTGACTTTAGTTAGCAGGGTAAGTAAGGTGGGTTTATGGGGACAAAGTAGACAAACGAAGACCAAGGAGCTTCCAAGTAAGGGTTTCGGTTGTTGGTGGGGTCTTGTGCGATAGCGACTCTTGCTGCTGCCAGTTGGGCACTGTGCTTAGGGTTTGTAGGTTTAGGATTTGATTTAAATCCCTGAAACAGAAACTGGGCGCCTTCTGATTTGTAGGGTTGAGTTTGGGGTTTAGGGTTTAGGATTTAATAGGGATTGTCATAGGGGGTACTATAATCCCTATTAAGAGAAACCAAATGAGATGGGGTTCCCTAACAAGAACCCGAAACCCGAAACCGCAGCTCTGAAGAGCTCACTTTCTTGCCTTCGTGCCCTAAACCCTAAGCCCAGAACCCTAAACCCTAGCCCTAAACCCTAAACCCTCAACCCTAAACCCTAAACACTTGCTTTGGAGTTCACTGCGAGGCCTACCACCTCCGCGCAAAGTCGTTTGCAATGGCAATCAAGTGCCAGTGCCCCGGATCGCTGCCGGGTCTTTTGTTTCCATGTGGCGTCTCCAAAACCCCTAGACCCTGAACCCTAAACCCCTAAACAGGGGGTTTAGGGTTTAGGGGGTAGGGTTTAGGGCCCCTAAACCCTAAACCCTAAACCCTAAACCCTAAACCCTAAACCCTAAACCCTAAACCCTAAACCCTAAACCCTAAACCCCTAAGCCCTAAACCCTAAACCCAAGGCTCTGAAGGCTCACCGAGATTTCGTTGCTTTGCCATCGATTGGCACCCCCAAGGCTTCACCAACCTGGACGAAAGGCCACTAGGGTTCAGGGTTTAGGGTTTAGGGTTTGGGGTTTGGGGTTTAGGGTTTAGGGTTTAGGGTTTAGGGCCCATGATGCACTCGTAGGGTTAGGTTGGAACATAATTTTCTTTTTTGGTTACCCCTTAATCCACTGTCTAATCCTTAGAAAGCCAGAGAATCAGGATTTTTTTATTGTGGAGTTGATGCATGCAAGATTGCGCATGCAATCTTGCAGGTATGTGTTTTTGTAGTAGACGAAAACGCGCAAGCTTGAGCCTAAACCGTAAACCGTAAACCCTAAATTAAATGTAAGCTGCCGCTAAGGCTTCGAAAGAGCCATGCTCGTGAAGCAGATGACCTTGGCTGAAGAGGCTTTAGGGTTTAGGGTTTAGGGTTTAGGGTTTAGGGTTTAGGGTTCCGAAATCTGTGCGCCCACAACGACATGCTGTGGAGCCCAATCACCCCTCAATTCAGGAATGGGCCTTCACTGGTCTAAACCCCTAAACCCTAAACCCTAAACCCTAAACCCTAAACCCTAAACCCTAAACCCTAAACCCTAAACCCTAAACCGGGCCTCTTGGGGGGGAGAGGGGGGAGGGGGGTTTAATGTGCATTGCGAGATAGAAGCTAAAGGGCTCCAGGCCTGGGGCGCAATGTTGAAGTCCCAAGAGCCCCTCACCTTGATTTTCGGGTCGATAGGGTGTAGGTTTTAGGGTTCAGGGTTTAGGGGTAGGGTTTAGGGTTTAAACCCTAAACCATAAACCCTAAACCCTAAACCCCTTTTAGGGGTAGGGTTTAGGATTTGGGGTGTAGGGTGCAAGTTTTGGGGTTCAGGGTTCAGGTGTAGGGTTTAGGGTTTGGGGTTCAGGGTTCAGGGCGCGCCCCTAGGAAGGTAAGACTTATCATAGCATCCAGGGAAGATTTTGTATTTGGGGTTGGGGAAAGGGGCATGTGCCACTATGCAACAGAGTTTGGGGTCTAAGGTTTAGGGTTGAACCGTTTGAAAACCTTCCCCGCAGTGCGAGAAGGTCAGGCCGTCCCCACATCCACAAGAAATTCTCTGGACTATACAGCCACATCCTTCAGTCAATTCTTAAGAACCCTCCAAACAAATACAACCTTCTTCCTCACAAGGGCGACACCATAGGGATTGCTATCTTTCTATTTTGCGGGGTCTTAAGCAAATTAGTGGTAACTGCAAGGAACCCTAAACCCTCAACCCTCACCCCCAATGCCAGGACCAGACGGCATCCATGGCGGCAACCTTGTTGGCGCTGGGCGGTCCTTCGCCCAGTGCCGTCCGGCGCCGGCCTTCGGGTTCACAACTTACACCCTGCGAGGTCCCATTATTTGCAAAGCCCAAACCCTAAACTCTAAACCTTAAACCCTAAACCCTAAACCCCTCTTAAAGGAGCATCGGGGTCACAGGATAGTATGGGCTTTGAAGGTGCATAAGATGGAGCTTTGCTGCAGAGGGGGTTTTGCAACGATCGTTCCCCAGAAAACCTATAGTGCTGCGTTGTGATCTGGACCCCAAACCCTAAACCCTAAACCCTACACCCTTCCTCAGATATCAGCTCAAGGAACTTTGCAGGAGTCTCCACAAAGTCTGGTGGAATCTTGTCAAGCAAACCCTAATCCCTCGGAAGCCAGAGCTCCGAACCCTCAAAAAGCCGCCTGATGCCCCGTGGAATTCCGATGCCCAGATTCGCGACTCTTGCAGCAGAGCTAATCCCCAAACCTTGCGCAGGGTTTCCTTTCGGGGGGCTACTTGGAGCTTCATGGTACTCAGTAGCTAGTTATAACTGTAATTACTTCTAACCCACTTGCAAGCCCCTTAAGTGCCTAATATGATCATAAGTACAGTTAAAAGTACAGTTATAATTAGTTCCTAAGTGCCATGAACCTCCAAGTATAAGAGAGTTGTAACCAGGGAATAAGGGGGGCATAGGCGGGTATAAGAAGGGTATAAGGGGCGTATGAAAGGGCATACCAAAAGCCTTGAACCCCAAAGCCCTGGAACCCCCTAAACACCCAACACACGAGCCTAAGCAATTACCCATACTGTAGGCTTATGAATCAGCCTATACCGTTACCGTTTGATGATATGCTGCTCAAAAAAGTATCTAAAGAAGCCACCTCAACACTAAACTACCCCCTCCCCCCCTCACAAAACAAGAGTCAAACAGAGAGACCTACTCGAAAAACATCGACGAGAAGTTCATGCAAGTTATCCAAAGTCTGGCCTTTTCGGGGGGGGGGGGGGGGGGGGGGGTGTCGGGAAGGGGGCGGGGGGAGGGGGGGAGGGGGTGTCCCTAAACCCTAAACCCTAAACCCCAAACCCTAAACCCTAAACCCTAAACCCTAAACCCTAAACCCTAAACCCTAAACCCTAAACCCTAAACCCTAAACCCTAAACCCTAAACCCAACCCTAGACCCTATAAACCCTAAACCCTGTTCCCCAAATAACAGATACAGAGCCGCATATTTCACGGAACCCTGAGAAGGAACCGAAGTTGAGAAAACCGCCTCTTCGGGTTTAGGGTTTCGGGTTTAGGGTTTCGGGTTTAGGGTTTAGGGTTTAGGGTTTAGGGCTTAGGGTGTTTGGGTTTAGGGTTTCGTGTTGAGGTGCTCACCTCCAAAGTGGCGCGCCGGTCACCGCAGCTCGCTGTTGGGAGCCCAGATCCGATCTTTTGCCGGGAAGCCCTCGGTTTAAGGGTTTAGGGTTTAGGGTTGAGGTTTTAGGGGTTAGGGTTGAGGGTTTAGGGTTCAGGGTTGAGGGTGCAGGGTTTCGGGTTTAGGGTTCAGGGCTGACAGTTTGCAGAGGAAGCAATCGCAGGAGTGCAGCTGCAACCGACGATGTCCGTGTTGGCTGAGGATTGGGCTCTCTGGCTTTAGGACCCGGAGGAGACCCCAAACCCTAAACCCTAAACCCTAAACTGGAGGCCCTTGTTTCCTTGTTTAGGGTTTAGGGTTTAGGGTTTAGGGTTTAGGGTTTAGGGATTCCCGAGTCTGCGAGAGAGAGAGAGAGAGGGTTTAGGGATACTAGGACCCTGATTTCCTTTTTTTGGGCTTGGTGTTCCCTTATAATCCCCTTAAAAACGAAAAAGGGGCACGCTTTCTATTCCTAGGTTACTCCTGGGTCTAGTTTTTTTGCTGAAGCAGTGCGCGGCTTGGGCTTTAAGGTGTCTTTGGAGATGTCTTGGGATGCCCACCCCTGTTTAGGGTTTAGGGTTTAGCGTTTAGGGCTATACCAGCAGTCCTTAAGAAGGATTATCATTGGGGGGTACAAACATCCTTTATGACGGACTGTTAGTATAAGGGGGGACATCCATGTACCCTGAGCCCCACGTTCCCTTAGCTCCAAAGCCTACAGCCAAGCCCTAAACCTCAACAACACCCTGAGCCCCCCAAGACCCTTAAGCCCCCTTAGGTTGTTAGGGTTTCGGGTTTAGGGTTTAGGGTTTAGAATTTAGGGTTTAGGGTGTTTGGGTTTAGGGTTTAGAGCAGGTAGCTGCACACCTTGAGGCTGGGTCAGTCGTACTCAGTAGATGATGTAAGCAAGCAGGTTGAAAACCGCACATTGGGGCCTCGAAGCGCTGGTCAGGGTGCAGCGCGTACCATGGGACTAGCTTGCGCATGTGCTCCTGCCCCGCACGTTCTCGGGCGCCCGGGCCCATCCCGCCAAGGTTTGCAGACTGCGGTGGCAACGCTGGAGGAGTGTTAGCCTTAGGGCTGTTCCCGCACTCCCCTATTCAGCACCCTACACCACCCTCCAAAATGCCGTTAAAAAACACCCTCCTGAATAGATGAGCCTAAATACTTTGCGTGACTATCCCGCATAACGTAAAAGAGGCCCCTAAGCCGAAAACGAAATAGACCCCCCAAAAAAGTTTTCGTTCTTCCTTCCCATGCATGCAGTGGCTCGTAAACCCCGTATCCCAAGTGCCAAGCCCTAAGCCCTCTTTTGTTGCAGGTTTTAGGGTTTGGGGGTTTCGGGTTTAGGGTTCAGAGTTTGGGGTTTAGGGTTGGAAGGTTCAGGGCGTGGTTTCTGAAAGGCAAGGAGTGGGTATATCGTACTGGACGTGGGGAAAGACACATCCCCGCAGCGCAACATACGTGGCCTAACTGGCAGCCCATGATACAACAGCATGTGCCTTGGATGTTCAATGAGAGCCTGCTGCAGTTGCCTGATGAGGTTCGTTTAGTTTGGATAGGTGATGAAGGGGGCAAGTCTGGTCTCTGAGTCTCCCGGCCCAGCTCTGTAATGAACTTTGGAGATGTCTCAAGTTCGTTCGGATGAGCTCTTCGGCACTTGTATTCGAGTCAGACTAACGCATGATGTGTATCAGGCTTTTGCGCATGACTTCCAAACGTTGGGGTCGGATCTGTTCACTCAACTTGAAATCTTACTACTTCCAGATACTGCTCGGCCGACATGGATAATAAAGTCTTTGGTATCCTGGGGTAGCCACGAGTGCTACATGCAGGGTTGTGTTTCCTGAGACGTCGAGTGTCAACTTACCCGGCGGGCTGCAAGAGACCTGGTGGAAAAAAAGGGTCCAGGGCGAGCTTGCTGCCGAGGTTGGGTGACGACACGGACGAACTGATGCTGGCCTTTTGTCTGCAATGCGTTTTGTGCATGGCTTCGCTTGCATTCTCGTTGCTCGTGGGCCGACCCTAAGCCCGAATTAAACCGCGCATTATAAGTCCTACAACCTCCTATTAAACCCTAACACCTCAGCCCTAAGCGGTTTAGGGTTCGGGGTTTAACGAGGCTTTGGGGCTTAGGGCTCGGGCTTCGGGTTTAGAGTGGTTTTGGGCCCGAAGGCCTACGTCCAAAACTGCAGCTGCAAGCATTTCCTTGCCCTAAACCCTAAACCCTAAACCCTAAACCCTAAACCCTAAACCCTAAACGCTCCCTTCTGCTCAGGCGTCGGCCTACCAAGCCTTGGCTGGCTCCTATCGCGTGAAGCGCCGAGCATGTCCTGACTCCGAGCTGGGGTTTAGGGTTTAGGGTTTGGGGTTTGGGGTTTGGGGTTTGGGGTTTGGGGTTTGGGGTTTAGGGTTTAGGGTTTAGGGTTTAGGGTTTAGGGTTTGGGGGGGTTTAGGAGTTTTGGGCATTTAGGGGTTTAGGGCTTGGGGGTTTTGGGGTTTGCTGTTGTGCAGGTTGTTTTTTTTCAATATGGGTCAAATCCTCCGATTTGTAGTTTCACGGGGTGGCCACGAGGGAGGGAGGGGGGGAGGGAGAGAGAGGGAGAGAGAGGGAGAGAGAGGGAGAGAGAGGGAGAGAGAGGGAGAGAGAGAGGGAGAGAGAGGGAGAGAGAGACTGCGATTTATAGCCCAAATGAGGGCCGCGCGTAGGCGAGAGCAGCAGGATTTCAAAGCAGACACCAACGCCGCACCTTTAAGAACAAACACCTCCCGCCATCTCAAGTTCTGCCTGAGGCTGCTGGCCAACATGGCCAGGCGTTGCCCGGCACTCAGTTTTTGTTCGGGGCCCCAAAAGACACACAAACATAAGGATCCTACTTTTGGGGCACAAGGTCCCCTATAGAGGGCATTTTGGAAAACCATGTTTTTGGGGAGGGCAAAGTCATGCCTGGAGAGCCTACAAAGCCCCTGAGCCCTCAACGCCCAAAAACCCTAAACCCTAATCCCCAAACTTAAGCCCTAAACCCTAGCCCTAAACCCTAAACCCCAAAACCCCAGAAACCCTAAAACCTTTGCTTGCGCCTTAGGCAGTGCTACAACCTCTGCCTCGAGCTACGAGAGGCCAAGCTGGGTCTGGGACCAAGCATGCTTAGGGTTTGGGGTTTAGGGTTTAGGGTTTAGGGTTTAGGGTTTAGGGTTCAGGGTTTAGGGTTTAGGGTTTGGGGTTTAGGGTTTAGGGTTTAGGGTCTAGGGTTTAGGATTTAGGGTATTCAGGTTTATAGGCTTTAGGTTTTAGGGTCTAGGGTTTAGGGTTTAGGGTATTCAGGTTTATAGGGTTTAGGTTTTTAAGGTTTCGGGTTTCAGGGCGGGGGGGCATGCTGGCAGATGTTTTTTTGTTTTTTTTTTGCACACTTTGTACCTTGCTGAACGACATGGTGGGAAAGCTCTTTAGATGCTGGCGTCGCCCTCAGTCTATGCATCAAAAATCATGGCTTAAGTATCTTAACTACGGGGGAACCTGGGGGGAGGGGGGGGGAGGGGAGGGGGGGGGGGGGGGGGGGGGGGGAGGGGGGGTTGTCGAGTGCCGGGACCCTGGCGCCCCCTAAACGCCGGTGACTAGACCCGGGATGCCCATTTCAAGCCAGCCTTCAGACTCTAAACTTGGGATGTTCCGCCTTCTACCAACAGTCCTTAATAAGGATTTTTCATAGCACTTATACTCCCTATTAAGGACTGTTCGTAAGAAAAGGGTGAGCATCCCAACCCAAATCCTGAAAGCCCTATATCAACCCCCCTAGACCTTGAAGCTACTGAACCCAGGGTTCCCTCATGGATGCCGGCCCTCAGATCAGCCCAACCCCTAAGCCCTGCAAAACCTAAAGCCTGAATCCCCTTAAGCCCTAAAAACCCTAGGCCCCGAAACCCTACATCCTCACCCCAAAACCGCCTAAACCCTAAACCCTAAACCCTACAAACCCTACAAACCCTACAAACCCTACAAACCCTACAAACCCTACAAACCCTACAAGCCCTAAACCCTAAACCCCCAAAGCCCTAGGCCCAGAGGACCCTCAGCTGATCCCTGTGCTGAACAACCTCGGGGCCCAGGCCACCTTCGTGCGTTTTAGGGTTTAGGGTTGAGGGTTTAGGGTTTGAGGTTTCGGGTTTGGGGTTTAGGGTTTAGGGTCTCGGGTTTGGGGTTTAGGGTCTAGGGTTAGGGTTTAGGGGTTTGGGGTTGCGTTGGAGGGTTTACCGGGCTTGTAGGGTTTGCTATGCCTGCGGGTGGTTGCATGGTCCCTGAAAAGGGTCCCTTTGCTTCTTTAAAGGGGTTCTGAAGTATGGGCCCTTGGGTTTTGTAGGTTTTTGGTTTTTTTGTTCAGGTGTTTCTAAGGGTTCCCCAATCAAGGGCCCATATTCAGGGACCATGTAACTGCCCTCAGATGACAGGGGCTCAAGGGTTTGTACCGTTTGCAGGGCTCATATGCTCTGCTGGGGTAGTATAGAGGGGGGTAGTAGGGGAACCCATGATACATTCGGCCAGGGGTCGAGGATTTATAGGGCTTCCTTATAAGGCGGCCTTACTTAGGGTACCCCGAAAAGGTACCCTGATTCAGAGAACTAACCATAAATATTAAACCACGAATCCACAAAGCAAAGAGCGCAAACGCCCTCACGTCCGGAGTCGTTATCTCAGCCTCAACCCTAAACCTGAAACCCGAAACCCTCACTCAAACCCCCGACAGCCAGGGAAGCTCGAAATCGCCAGACGTCCTGGGCGCAGCGTAGGTAATCTACAGAAAGCGCCCCCAAAAAATCTAAAGGTCAACCTTGTTCCCACTGGCAAGTTCAATTCAGCCTGCAGGAGGTGACCTAACCTCTAACCCCAAGCCCTAAAACCTAAACCCCAAACCCTAAACCCTAAAACCTCAAGCCCACAACCCACCCTAAGCCCCAACAGTCCGCTTACAAGTACCGCCCCCTGTCAGAGGCGCAGCAGTTGCTGCGGCACAAAGAGGCCTTTAAGCCCTGGACCCTTTCCTCCACACCTGGGGCAAACAGCCCTAAAACCCTAAACCCTGAACCCTAAACCAAGCAGGGGATGTTTGAGGTTTGTGGAATCACTGAAGGTAAGTTCTAGAGCTGAGAGTTTGGGGTTCTGGTGACGCCGGGCCAGGGTTTGCGGAAGCGTTGAATTCCTTGAGTTCGGGAAAGCTTTAGGGAAAAGGGCTTAGGGTTCATAGGGTCAGGTTCATAGGGTTCTTGGGGTTCATGGGGTTCATAGGCCTCAGAGGGTTCAGAGGGCTCATGGGATTCATAGGGCTTAGGGTTTAGAACGTTTGAGGCTCAGAGCTTCTAGGCCTTAATACACGTTGTACTTGGAGATGCCGTCAAAGCTGCATCCTTGTTGTCCACCCCCCCGTCCCCCCCGTTCCCTGTGCCATGCCATAACCTGTATGACGGTTGCACCTTCCGTGTCCTCAGACAACCACACGAAGCACCATAGTGGGTGGTACCTGAGGAAGATTGAGGGACTACGTGGCATACCCGTGTCAGACCCCTAACCCGTGTCAGACCCCTAACCCGTGTCAGACCCCTAACCCAGTAGGAAGCCCCTGTCAGCTGCTATCAGGCACGCGGTAGCACTGTCGCAAACTACGGATTGCATGTGTAGCTTCACCTGGATCAATATGAGAGCAACGTATGACGAGTTTTGGGTAGCTAGATATACCAGAATAGTATGGTCTCCACTGATTGCAAAGCTTCCCCGGCTTCCCCTTTCTTGTGCAAAGCGCCCTGACCCTGTGCTAAACTTGCAAAGTCAAAAGAAGCCCCAGGGAAGCTCACCCCCTCTAACCCTTAACCCTAAACCGTAAACCCTAAACCCTAACCCAAAACCCTCACCCAAATTAGCGAGCTCTTCACGGGCAGGGGTTCAAACGTCATAGTCGTACTTGGAGGTTCATGGTACTTGGCAACAAATTGTAACTGTACTTATAACCTAATTAAGTCCCCTAAGTCTAGTTACCGAGGCAAAGAAAAGGGCTATAAGTACAGAAATATTTCGTTACTAAGTACCATGAAACTTCAAGTTCCAGCTCAGGCCGCAGACTTCTATCGTCGAGCTCTTTCCCTGGAACGGAAGAGCCTGGGCACGGAGCACGCACCTTACTTTAGGGTTTAGGGCTTTAGGGTTTCGGGTTTAGGGTTTAGGGTTGACGGCTTAGGCTTTAGGGCAGTGCCAGCAAGTTTTTTGTAACGTCAAAAGATCCAGGTTCACTATTCTCCATGTTTAAGATTGTTCAAACCCTAAAACCTAAACCCTAAACATCCCTAAACCCGAAAACCTACACCCTGAACCCCAAAACATCACTCCTCCAAGCAGGGCAGCCTGACGCCCTGCATCATTGCCGCTGTTGTTGGTGATGATGGGTTCGGGGTTTAGGGTTTAGGGTTTAGGGTTCAGGGTTCAGGGGTTAGGGGGAGACCCCAGGAGCCCTGAAGCAAAACGGGTTTAGGGTTCAGGCACGGTTTAGGGTTTAGGGTTCAGTGTGCAGGGTTTAGGGTCTAGGGTTTAGGGTTCAGGGTTCAGGGTTTCGTGTTCAGTGGGGTGGGGGGTTGGCCCAGCAGGCCAGGTGCAAAAAAGGGGATGGCCTTGTTGCTGTTGCAGATGTTGCTGCTGCTGCTGCATGCTGCTTGCCCCTAAACCCTAAACCCTAAACCCTAAACCCTAAACCCTAAACCCTAAATCCTACACCCCTTTTGCTTTTCGATGCTTCAGGCGTTGCTTCTCGTGACCGGCACAGACTGTCTCTATTTCGATGCTCCGTCGAACACGCCCTCCAAAAGTATGGACTATGAGTCGATTTCCTAGGCCCCGTACAGCTGGGTTTAGGGTTTTGGGTTTAGGGTCTAGGGTTTTGGGGTTTAGGGTTTAGGGTTTGGGGTTTTGGGGTTTTGGGGTTTAGGGTTTTGGGCTGCTTTCCATATCTCGGATTTGTAGCCGCGTTACATCCTGTGCCAATTGCCTATCTGATGTCACGCTTGGTTAGCGAACTTAGTTCCCACTGCTTCTAGACCTGGATGATTGCATGAAGGCCCCGTAGATCCTTGTGTTTGTGGGGTGCGGAAGAGGGAATTAGTGCGTCTTTTTGCAGCCATTCGTGAACTAGCTTTCCACGGAACCGGTCGTGTCTGTTTTTTTGGTGCGTGCTCATGTCTCCAGCAAAACCTCACGCCCTCGGGCTGCTATGTGCTATTTGCTTCTTCAAGGCACTGGTTGGCCTCTTTGGTACGGCGTGCTTGAGTTTTGCCACTATTAAGGGACAGGCTCCTTTGAGCAAGCTTCGCGAGAAGACTGGGTTGGCGTTACATATGCGAGCAAGAGATAACCCAGCCAACGCGCGACCCATCAGCGAAGAGGGCAAAATGAGTCTTAGGGATATCACAACAGCAGGTGCCAGAGGTGACTGGACGCGGATTTCAGCTATCCTGTCCAAATACCAAGGCCACGATATACAAGTCTTCACAGCCGCGATGCACTTCGCTTTGCAGTGTGGCCAGCTTCAAGCCGGTGCATGCCTCTACAACAGACTCGAGAACCTGCAAGTCTCAAAGACCGGACCAACCTTCACCGCTGCGTTGAAGATTTTTTCCCGGCTTGGCGAACACGACACTGCTCGAGAGATATGGGCTGAAGCAAACAGCACGGTGCAAATCGATGCGCCCTTGGCAGGCGCGCGCATTGATGCTGCTGCTGCAGCAGGTGATGTCGCAGCTGCAGCTGAGGTCTTGGACCAGATGAACCGAACTGGGCCTGAGATCGAGGTGCAGCACGTCACATCCGCCATTCACGCATGTTGGCAGGCAAAAGGAAACGGCCACCACGCAGCAAAGTTCTTGTTCCAAATGATGCTGGACCTGGGTCTCTCCCCCAACATTGCTACGATGACCTGCTTGGTCGGTGCATACAAGTCGGCCCCCTTGTCAGATCTCCTTGCCGCAAAAGCAGAACTCCAACAGCGCAGAATCGCACCCAACAGGGCCTTCGTGGAAGTCTTCCTCAACAGCATCTTGCAGAAGCCTCGCGAGGCCGAGTGGTCACTCCAAGAGATGCTTTCCGAAGCTTTGCCGCAGCGTTCCCCGGACCGTCTGGCAGCAGCCACAGCTGCAATCAATGAGTTCAAAGCCGCTGGGGTTACCATGAGCACCCTCACCGAAAGGATGGGCCTTGCGTTGGGCAAGCTCCACTACTGAGCTGGCTGCTCTCAGGTGCGGGGCGCGCTCCTATTTCCACTTTGAATAAGTGTTGTCCATAGCTCATGGGCCACATGAGCTAAATCATGAGATGGTGAACACGGAGCCGATACGCTCTGAGCCAAAATCGGACCGGGTGCGATTTGGGGAGGGGAGGGGGGACGGGGAAGGGGGTTCTGCGCAATCTCTTGTTTGCATGATGGCGTGCTGGGGCGGCGAACTGATGCCATCGCGCCAATGTCCACGCCCATATTCAGGGTTTAGGGTTTTTCAGAGTTTAGGGTTTACAGGTTTAGGGTTTGGGGGACATAGCCAGAACGCAGGCAAAAGCGTCCAGGGGATGCTGCAGCACCATCCTGCACCCCAATAGAATACGGCACCGAATATTTAGGGTGTCCCACAAAGGGACCTTGAATGTTGACAACTACCCATGGAGGGTATGGGTAGTTTCAAGTATGTCTAGACGTACCCTGAATAGGGTTGATAACTATAGTTACCATACTTCTAACCCCTACATGCAATTACGGATGAACCTCCAAGTAATCCCTCTTCCTCGAAGATGTAGCCCTTGCCATGCTTGTGGACATCGCCTAGCTTTAGGAAAGAAGGTACGACCAAGTCCTTTTCGAGGTACCTGTTTAGCAGGGACTCTGAAGGTGCCCCAAAAATCCTACGTACCCTAAACCCTAAACCCTAAACCCTAAACCCTAAACCCTAAACCCTAAACCCTAAACCCTAAACCCTAAACCCTAAACCCTAAACCCTAAACCCAAATGAATCCTGTGGCGAATAAGGCATGTCGCGACAGCGACAACACTCGCCAATTTGGGTACGGTCTTCGCTCAGCCTGGCCCCTACGCATCCCAGTTGTAAGCAAGACCGGGCACAGGACTTATGGGGTTTAGGGTTTAGGGTTTAGGGTTTCGGGTTTCGGGTTTCGGGTTTAGGGTTTAGGGTTTAGGGATGGGGTAACCTGGCGTAGATAGGCCCTCCTGGGTCTTCATTCCAAGACTTATGGGTTCAGGGTTTGTCACATAATGCTTTGGCTCAAGCCAATAATCTTACTTCGCCTTTAGCTGAACTTTAAACTTTTTGGGTTTCCTTGTTTAGTAGGAATGTTAAAGTTTAACCTTTTTTCCCCTTGGTTATTGCAGAAGTAAGTAATTATTGCTACCAGGCCAGCGCCATGCGGGACGTGTGTTGTGGTGTGCGCCTAGCTTCACCTGACATCCCCTTTCACCACATCTCAACCTTGGCAGGTTGTGGAGTTTTTTCTAATTGCCATAACCCTAAACCCTAAACCCTAAACCCTACACCCTACACCCTAAACCCTAAACCCTAAACCCTAAACCCTAAACCCTAAACAAGTGTGGCCCTGGAAATCCCTGGAACCCACGTGGTTTCGACCTTTCCGCGCATGGGCCGCACTCGGCGCGCCGGTTCCATACACCTGATCGCGACAGCTCACCGGAGCCAGCCCTGCTGTCGCCTCGGAACCCTGAACCGTAAACCCTATAGGGTTTGGGGTTTAGGGTTTAGGGTTTAGGGTTTAGGGTGAATATGGTCACTTGTCTAACTTACGGTCCCTGTCGGGGATACTACAAGGTGGCCCCTGGAATTTGCCCCATAATATTTAGGGTACAAAAAAGAGATCATCATTTTGAGAACTGACCACATGCCGCATGGGCTGTAGCATTCGCGTGGCTACGCCCCATGAATTGCCCAAACCCTGCAATTGTAAACCTTCAAGTGCAGGCCCTAACTGTAACCTGGAAACCCGAACTCCTAAGACCCCAGCTCTAAAAGGATGGACCAGAAACACGATCTGGAGAGCCCGAATGAAAACCCCTGAGCCCTAAGCCCTAAACCCCAATGAAAACTCCCCTGAGCCCTGACAACCGCCTCGAGGTTAAGCGAGCACGGCGAAGCCGTGACGTGCTTGAGCCAAGCCTACGAGGTGGGAGTGTGGATCTCCTAGGGTTTAGGGTTTAGGGTTTAGGGTTTAGGGTTTAGGGTTTAGGAATTGTTGGGGTCTACGGTTTTGAAACCCTAGACCCTAACCCTTGAGGAGCTTGGCCAACGTGGATGTTGTGTACCTAGATTTGCTCTCAGGTGGTGGTTTAGGGTTTAGGGTTTAGGGTTTAGGGTTTAGGGTTTAGGGTTTAGGCTTTAGGCTTTAGGCTTTAGGCTTTAGGGTTTAGGGTTTAGGGTTTAGGGTTTAGGGTTTAGGGTTTAGGGTTTAGGGTTTAGGGTTTAGGGTTTAGGGTTTAGGGTTGGGCTGTTGCAGGACTGCCTCCTCGATACACAGAGATGGCCTGCGCTTGCTGCTATCACGAGAATGGAAAGAAACGACGTGCGTGCTGCAGGGCAGACCATGCTTAACTCACTGATGCTTCTTGGATGAGGGGCCAGTCCTATAGGCATTGTGCTGGCGTTCTAGCGGCACACGCCGCAAGCTGCAATAGGTGGTGGAGGAGCCAATTCCCCAGCCATGTTCATCGGAGCAGATTACGCGCCCGCGGACATGCATGTCCCTAAACCCTAAACCCTATAAACCCTAAACCCTATAAACCCTAAATCGTGAACCCACCTTAACCCGTGAAATTATAAACTTTCAACCGGAGTTCCCTGCATACTTCGGGCCGGGAGCCGCTTTGATGGGCACCCTAAACCCTAAACCCTAAACCCTAAACCCTAAACCCTAAACCCTAAACTGCCGAGAGCACCGCTGTCCATTTACATGGGCGCTCGAGGCTTCGACCGAGGTCCCCGACCGAGCGTCTCCACAGAACGGTGGGGGAGGGTAAAGCCTCCCAGTGACTGGCTACGCCCCCAAACCCAACGCGTCTTTTTGGTGTTTTTGGGGGGGGTCTGGGGGATCCCCCCGTCGGGGCCCCGCCTGGAAACCCCTTCCTGCCCAGCCTCAACCTTTTCTGGCACCGCCTAGGACCTGTTTGGGAAATCTCTGGAGCCCGGATTCTGACATGACTCCGCCTGAGACCTGGGACCCGACCCCCCCTGCTGTTCAAAAAAAAGAAGCCCCTGCCGCCTGGCACACCTTGAGGACATCTAAACTGCCTTTCCTGGAACCCTTCTCTGGGACCTTGCCTGTTTTCGTGGTTGAAAGCAGGGGCCGGCCCTGCTTCCCCGTACCGCTTTGCTGCCGCCCCGCGATCCAGGATTTGCCCAGACCGTAGTGAAAATGTTGAGTTTTTTGTATTGCAATCGACGGTTTTTGGGCCCCTCCATTTTAATTCGTGAAAGCTCCAAGAAGCCTACGAGCCACTGACAGGCTCCACAAAGCCACCCTGCTCTTTTTGTATAAAGCAAGAAAGCCCCCCTTGAGGGGGGTTTGGGGGGTGAACCCTAAACCCTAAATGAGGGTGGTTGGGGTGGGACTACATGCTAACGCAAGCGAGCGGCCCGGGTGCTTTTAGCACCAGCGAGCTTCCCTTCTATACACCCTAAACCCTAAACCCCAAACCCCAAACCCTAAACCCTAAACCCTAAACCCTAAACCCTAAACCCTAAACCCCTAAACCCCTAAACTCCTGAACCCTGAACCCTGAACCCTGAACCCTGAACCCTTAACCCTGAACCCTTAACCCTAAACCCTAAACCCTAAACCCTAAACCCTAAACCCTAAACCCTAAACCCTAAACCCTAAACCCTAAACCCTAAACCCTAACCCTAAACCCTAAGCCCACGGCTTGGTCTACGTGATCCAAGCCTCGCACCGCCTGTACGGACCGAACCCCAAAATTAGGTCATGTTACCTGTGCTACTTTTTCCCTTTCAGGTCTATGAACCGTACATCCTTTTAGCTTTAGATGGTTATGCCCCGAAATCCCGACATGATTCCCTCAACATTCTCCGAACATATAGTCCCAACATACCAAGTAACCCCTACAGAAGCCCTGTAAGGGTCCCTCCAATGGCCCCTTGAACCCCTACATCCCAAACCCTAATCCCTAAACACCCAGATACAGCGTGCCGAGCTCGGGGAGAACCACCCCACCTTGGCCACAACTTTGTCACCACGGCAGCAGGAAGATATGTTGGGCTGAGCGGGCTGTATAAGATGCATTATAGGGTTTGTTTAGAAGGGACCTTAGGGGTTCTTCAACGGTTATTTAGGGGCCACTTAGGTATGTCGGGACTATATAACGGTAGTTAAAAAGGGAAAAAATAAGGGTCCCTTCTAGGGGTCCCTCCTTATACCCCTTAATGAGTTTAGGAAGCATTCGAGGTTTAGGTTTAGTTGTTGCTTAGCGTTCAGTGGCCACACTGTACGAATTGTTGTATTTGAAAAGGTTTATGACTGTTTTTTTTGGTTGGGTAGGGGCTTTGGGGACCTTGCAGGGTCTTACAGTTTCTCTTCTGTGCTTCCGTTCCAATCGATGCAAGCTCCTTGAGAACTTGCTTCTATCGTGGTGACAATGCCAAGGCCAAAACGCTGCGCCACACGTCTCTGTGGAGCTCAGCCGCTAAACCCTAAATCCTAAACCCTGAACCCTAAACCCTAAAACCGTCTTCCCAACTCCTGCACTCCGAGGCATAACTTGGGGAACGCCCTGGCCTCATGCAGCTATGGCGACAAGGCCCTGCGCTTTTTCGTTTTCGCATGCCCGTTACATTGTTGCATGATTTTATTATGATTTCACTACGTTATGATAGATATATCATACCATTCTTATTTGATTACAGTAAAAATGTGTAAATACATATGGGCGGACGTCAAAATACCATGTATGTAAAATATGATGGAAGTGCGATATGAAGCTCCGCTCTTGCTGCTTTATATGTTCGCCACAAGGCGGCACCATGCGTATATGCAGGTTTCCGGCTCTCCCCCAAGTAGGTGCTAGGATAGCGCTAGCGTGGCGCTAGGTGTTCCTTTCCAAAAGCTAACATTTTAGGGTTTAGGGTTTAGGGTTTAGGGTTTAGGGTTTAGGATTCAGGATTTAGGGTTTAGGGATGTGAGAGGCTTTGGGGTTTCATGCTTGGGGTTTAGGGTCTAGGGTTCGGGACTTTCTGGATTTAGGGAAAAGGCGGGGACCCTAGACCCTAACCCTCAATTCTACTACACGCTTCAGGATTAAGTGGGAGGTAAATCGCTGCAGTGTTTGCTCCTGATGCATACTGCCGGCGTGCCAAAACTCTAAAGTGATGAGGCGAAATATGCGCTAGGTCGGCGCTAGGATCGCGCTAGCAAATATCAAGGGAAACTGCCTGCGGCGACCACTCGCCCATCCAAGACATAAGGCAGTACTAAGACAGCTGATTTGAAGCATGGCCAACCGGGAAGAGCTGGCAGGGGATATCCTGAGCAAGGAGGCCGAAGAAAAAAGCTACGCACTTGTGCTACATCGCTAAGCGATAGCTCTAACACTACTAGCTCGAGTTCAAGTAGCTCCAGTAGTTCCGAAGACGATGCTTGAGTCTTGAAATGAAGGCGCTAGTATGTTTTGCGAGGCCTTTGCATAGGATACAAGAATTAGTACTAGACTTCTGTGCTTGTCAAAGCCATCGTTCCAGACCTTCGTTTTCCTTCTCGGCATCAGGCGGCACCATGAATTTTTCAGCATCCGCCATTCCTGGAAGAAGGAATATTGACAGCCACCCATATATATATATATAGATGCACATGATGATATTATTATATACGTAATTGTATTCTTGGTAGCCCGGGTGGTACCTTTTGCCCCCCCCCCCCCCCCCCCTTTTTGTGTCCAGGTTCCCTTATGAAGTAACCAAGCCCCAAAAGGGGTACCCTGATCATGCATATGGTTGCTCGGCTACCAAGGAACTATTGTTGCATGACTATATTATCATCATCTTAAACCCTAAATCCTAAACATGATTATCATGGCCTCGCTGTGGCGATTCTAGACATGTGCGGTGAATGCGGGCATGCCATCGAAGCAGACCATCCCGCCCCGAACCCTATAAGCCCCAAATCCGAAACTCCAGTGGGGCGGAACGTAGTAGTACATACTTCTAAACCCTCAACCCTAAACCCCCAACCATAAACCCTAATGTTGGACCCTGTTAAGCAGGGGCCTCCTCTATAAAGTCAATTTGGGTGTTGTTCAGACATCCTGACTGTTGGGAGTCCCTGTTTAAGCAAATCGTCCGGGGGCCGTAAAAAATTCCACGGCGCGCGCCTTAAAAAAAGATTGCCGGGCATCGCTGCCCTTTTTTAAACTTATCTAAACTCTTCCCTATTTAAATCATACAAACCCCCGGGGCCGTCTAAACAGAGCAAAATCCAGCCTGGACTGTTCAGGGGGGCGGGGGGGGGGGGGGGGTGCCCCCTACACTAAACAGGGTTCAACATTAAACCCTATACCGTAGGGCCTCGGCTTCAGGGTTGCAAGAGGGCGTCGAACTTGGACCCCCTAAGGATGTGCTTTTAAGAGGTTCAGGGTTTAGGGCTTAGGGTACATCCTCCACCTATTATGGCCCTTTTTTCTCCCTTAGAGGATCGCTTAAAGGGGTCCCAAGCCTCAGGGGAACCCAAACCCCAGTGGACAACCTAGGGGGCCCAAGGTAGAGTTCCACGAGGCCTTGAAAATTCCTAAACCCTAAGCCCTAAACCCTGAACCCTAAGCCCCAAACCCTAAACCCTTAGGGCAAGCACACAGAGTTGGAGGTCAAAGGCCTCCATCCTCAAAATCACAGCCTAAACCCTAAGCCCTATGCCCGAAGCCCCAAGCCCCAAGCCCTAGGCCCTAAGCCCTTACCTAAGCCCTTAACCTAAGCCCGAAGCCCGAAGCCCGAAGCCCGAAGCCCGAAGCCCGAAGCCCGAAGCCCGAAGCCCGAAGCCCGAAGCCCGAAGCCCGAAGCCCGAAGCCCGAAGCCCGAAGCCCGAAGCCCGAAGCCCTAGCCGAAAACACACGCAAACCCCTAGGCCCTAGGCCCTAGGCCCGAGGCCCTAGGCCCTAGGCCCTAGGCCCTAGGCCCTAGGCCCTAAGCCCTAAGCCCTAGCCTAAAATAAACGCAAACCCTAAACCCTAAACCCGAAACCCGAAACCCTAAACCCTAAACCCTAAACCCTAAACCCTAAGCCCTAAACCCGAAACCCTAAACCCGCTCGCTGCAAGCCCGGGCTCACGAAGCAGCCCCGCCCCCCCCCCCATCCACTTCTCTGGGCCGCATTCGGGGGCTTTGCAAAGCTGCGCCCATGTTTTGCGACAACTGCTGCTGGGGCTGTTTAGGGTTTAGGGTTTAGGGTTTAGGGTTTAGGGCGTATTGTTTAGGGTTTAGGGTTTAGGGTTTAGGGTTTAGGGCGTATTGTTTAGGGTTTAGGGTTTAGGGTTTAGGGTTTAGGGTTTGGGGTTTAGGGTTTAGGGTTTAGGGTTTAGTATTTCCCAAGAGCCCAAGCCCCCCCCCCCCCCCTGCCGGCAAAGAACTGACCTTAAGTAACCAAATTTTGCGCTTTGTACTGTGGAAATACTACTCTATCGTCATCGGTCTATGGTATTTTTTTTATTCTGGTATTCTCATCTCACATTCTTTTCTTCCTTATGCGACTTAAGGTACAGTCCTTTAATCCAGGGAATCTTGAGCTCTCTTGGTATCTGCTTGTCACTATAGGACGCCCAGGAGTACCTCTTTCGTTTTTGACTTAGGGGTGTTTTTTGGATGCTTCTCATGACGAAAGTCTTAGGATCATTTAGATGTCAGCTGGGTCTTTCGAAGGGCTTTCAGAGTTTGCAGTTTGCAGCTCTTTTTGTCGGGTTTTTGTGGCTGGTTCGGGCGCAGACCCCAGCCCCATCTAAGCACCTGAGAAACCCCGAACCCCTCAAGCCTGAACCCGGAACCCTGAACCCGAAATGATACCCTGTCGCACACCCTAAACCCGAAACTTTACCCGAAACCCTAGACCTTGAAGCCCGAATCCCCAAAATCCGCAGAGCCGAGGTTGCGCAGAAACCGATGGGGCGCTTGAGATGGGTATAGAGGAGAAGAGGGTATCGAGCCTCAAGAGGGTTGAGGGTTTAGGGTTTAGGGTTAGGGTTTAGGGTTTAGGGTTTAGGGTTTAGGGTTTAGGGTTTAGGGGTTAGGGTTGAGGGTTTAGGGTTTAGGGTTTAGGGTTTAGGGTAACGAGCCTCAAGGGGTCGGAGGGACTGCTGGTCCAATTTGCGGCGGAATACTACTAGCATACGATGATCAATTATAATGGTATAGCCTGGGTTGGTTTTTGGGACATTTTATGTATTTTCCTTATTTGGGTTTAGAAGGGACCCTATATGTAAATATTTTTCAGAGGGTTTAAAGGCCGACCCAGATAAGAATGCTACGGCTCTGATATTATATCGTGATAGTACTAGAGCTTCAATTTGGTGATACTAGACGATAATGACATTATGGGAACATGATCCGTGCAAGCCTGCTGCAAAAGCGTCTGAGGTATAGGGCTTGGGGTCTACGAGCATGGGGACCTTGTTCAGAGAGTCTCGAAGGGCTGAGGGTCCAGGTACATCTGGATCTAGCAGCGCTGACGGCTTTATTCGGGGATCCCTGAAATGCTATAAAACCTAAACCCTAACCGACCCCTAAAGCAATTGCAACCATACCCTGGAATACCGCAAGCGTCCTGTCATAGAATGCTGTCATAGGCAGACGGCTGGGCAAATTGGGTTGCTGTGGCTCTCGCGCCCTTTTGAGTAGTTGCACTTCAAGGATAAACCTTCGCGTTTGCTCCTCATGCTTGCTGAAAGGCATACGTGTGAGAATTCTTGCTGGGGTAGCCTTTAGGTGACTTCATGTTTCGGGCATAGGGCCAGGGAAGATTTCCGACGGATGTGCGTGGGTTGCCACGCACAGTGTCGGCAGAGCGGTTCGCCATTGCCCGAGGTGTCCCCCATGGATATCATTGAGTCTCACCCTGGCAACTACGTCTACGATGCGCCGCTTGGATTTGTACCCACCCGCCCAGCCACCCCACCTCCCCAACTCCTGGCGCGCGACAACCCACGCACACGCACCGAGGTTTGCTTCTTCTTTCGGAGGAGATTCGCTAGTCATTTTCAGAAATGGCACTCCTGACATCCTGGTTGTGATGCCACCACGTGTTGGCACAGCATTCGGCAATCACCAATGGCCTTGATCTGGAAGACGCAGGCACGTCAGCTGAGCGTCCCCAACAAACCCTAAACCCTAAACCCTAAACCCGAAACCCTAAACCCGAAACCCTAAACCCTAAACGTAGTGTGCCAGTGAGTCGACCGAACCCTTGCCTGCCGTTCGCGAGTGCGCGAGCCGAAACCCCAAGCAGCCAGGTTAGGGTTTGGGGTTTAGGGTTTAGGGTTTAGGGTTTAGGGTTTAGGGTTAGGGTTTAGGGTTTAGGGTTTAGGGTTTAGGGTTTAGGGTTTAGGGTTTAGGGTTTAGGGTTTAGGGTTTAGGGTTGTCAGCAAGTCCAGCTTCAAAAAGGCTTTCGCTGAGAGCCTCCCATGCCCCCTGCATTGATGAACTGAAGTCTGATTATCTTCATCCTATAGGGTTTAGGGTTTAAAGTTTAGGGTGTCGGGCTTCGGGTTTAGGGTTTAGGCTGGGTCTAGGGGTTTGAGAGTTTGGGTTCTGGGGATCTGGGGTA